AAACTAATTTCAAAAATTTTAAACTCAAAATACACCACAAAACTCAAATTATGATTTCAAAACCAAACCAAATGAATTATTTTTTTATTGGTAATCAATTGACATCATTAGTGACACCCTAGTGTGGTTGCTTTTAGGATGACCCCCCCAAAAAAATAAAAAAAGGTCTACTTCTAAATCCATGTTGGTGTCATACGTATTGCGTCTGGGCGTAATATAATTGGAGCATTATAAATTATTGATTTTGAATGGTGAATTTTACAATTCTACGTCTATCAGACCCTCTACAATCTATCAGACCATCTTCAATTGTGAATCAGATTGATCACCATATTCAAATTTGATAAAAAAAGATTATTTTTATCTCTTTAATGATTTCACTAAAATGATATCAAATTGAGAACGAGGCAAAACTTTCATCAAATTGAGGATGGATTGCACCTTTTAACAATTTACTGTGCATAGCCGTTGAGTGTGGACCTACCAGACGACCTCCGAATGATCATCTCAAGCAAAATTTTGTAAAAATTTTACATTAGGAGGTTAGCCACCCGGTTGACCACCTCTGTATTTTTTTTTTTGAGAAAACAAACTCAGTGAGGAAAAGAGTGAAGGCTGAACCTTCAAGCTACATAGTTCAACAGATGAATGATAGGAAAGAGATGTAAATGGAATCTTTTCATTACTGTTGTGTTTCCTAATGTAGAGGTATTCACTGGCTCAAGAAGATAAGCATGAACAGAGGTATTCTCTGGATTAGTACTCTCCAAACTGAGTTGACAAATTCGACAATCTCTCTCTATTCTCCGCAAATGAACCTTGATTTCACGAACCCCATTTTCGATATCAGCGGAGCAATCTGAGTCTGCCGCTGAGGAAAACCTCAGAGAATCCGAAACAATTTTAGCCTCAAGATCAGACCCATAATCGTCGCACGACCCATCATTGATGGAATAGAACTGAGAATGAAAAGAACCTTCGTCTCCGTCGCTCACAGCGGAGGAGGAGAGAAAAATGGTGTTTCAAAAAATAGACATTTAAGTAAGTGGGTAGTGGATTCGGTGAATTTTTAAATCGCGTTTCATTCACTTTGCAAAGATCACGATACAGAAAGATTGAAAAAAAAAATTGAGAAGAGAATTTGGAAGTAAGAGTTTTCAATTTGTGATATGCAGAAAGGGAAATGAGAACAGAGGAGGGTTGGAGGGAGAAAACAAGAGTGAGAGATAAAACAGTAATGCTTTTGGTACAGAAGTTGGAGTCTTTGAGATAGAACAGCCGCAAACAAAATAAAATAAAATAAAATAATTTCCTTCTCTGGTTGACCGGTCAATCAACCGGCCGGTCATCCCTCTAGACATCTACTGTCTTTTGATGAAAGTTATAGTGCACCATTAGAGCGGCTAATATCAAATCAAGGAACTTGTCTTTTTTTTACTTAAATTTGATGAAAAAAATGATAAATAGCTGGAAATACTCTCATTAAGATTAAAAAAAAAAGGTGTAATAATATCAATAAATGGTGGTCTATGGATTGGACTTGATGATGGACCAACCTGATTGATGGAAAAAAATATTGGTTGGTCTTGGAACGTCAAGTGGTTATAATTTATGTCAATCATAATTTACAATGGCACCTCATGTTTTTTAATCACTTAATAAAAATTTGTGAGCCTCACCTCTCCACTAATTACTATATTATTAAAGCACCACATGGCAATATCCCAATCACTTAATAAAAATTTGTGAGCCTCACCTCTCCACTAATTACTATACTATTAAAGCACCACATGGCAATATCCCAAGACTAACCAATAACTTCTCGGTTGATGGTAGATTGGATCTTCTTCCTTGGTGGTAGATTGGATCTTCTTCCTTGATGGTAGATTGGATCTTCTTCCTTGGCGCGGTTCTTGCAAAGCCAACATTTGCATGCACTCGGGGATAATTTTGTTAGTTCTAGCTAGGAGTTTACTTATTTTTTCAATTTTTTTTTTTAAATTTTAGTGAATTTAAAAAAAAATAAAAAAATTTAAGTTTCTAAATTCAGTTTGATAATATGAACCAACAAATTATAATTTTTTAAAAAACAAAATCCAAAAAAATTTAGAAAAGACAAAAAAATATGTGTTTGGTTGTGTTTTGTAAATGTAATACCACCCCTTAATTTGAATTTCATGTTTAGATAGAGTTTTCAAAATGTGATTCCACCACACATTTCAAAATGTAATTCTCCTTCATGTTTAGCTACTCTCTCTCTCTCTTTCGTGTTCTCCATTCTGAAAAAATATGAAATACACAATATTTTTGAATTTTGGGTCTACTCAGTTATCCTCCGAGAAGTTCGGCTGGTTGTTGGGAACAGTGTAATTTCTTTTCTTTTTTTTTTTGCAATCGCCAATCGCCACCTGTTATTTGGTGGGAAAAAATTATATTTGTTTTTGATATTTTTTAAGTATAAAAATTATTTTTCTTAAAACCAAAATGACATTCTTTTTTGATTTGAATGTTAAAAAGAGTTTGGTTATGAGTTTTGAATAGAATTTTCAATAGAGTTTTGAATTGTGTGTTTGGTTATAAGTTATAACTTTTTGAGTTATTTTCAATTAAAAAAAATATGTTATTTTTTGTTAATAATTAATTTTTTGAATTGAATTTTAAAAAGAGTTCGGTTATGAGTATTATTTTTTGTTAATAATTATTTTTTTGAATTGAATTTTAAAAAGAGTTTGGTTATGAGTGTTGATTATCAATAGAGTTTTGAGTTATATGTCTAGTTATGAGTCATAACTTTTTGAATTGAGTTTTGAAATCGTAACTAAACAATTTTCTTATTTAACATGTCACATCAAACATTCAAAACTCAATTCAACACTCAACTCAAAATTTAATTCAAAATTCTTTTCAAAAATCATAACCAAACAAATTTTCTACACTCAAATCATAATTTGAAAACTATAAACTCAAAATACAATTATATTCTCAAATCATATTTAGAAAACTCTACCAAATGCTACCTATTATTTTCTTTGATCTATCATTATTAGAACAGAAGCAAAGGTGCCATGGATTGTTTAGAAACTCAATCATGAAACAACCCCAAGAGGTAAAACAATAGTTATGCTAAAGAATCATATTCACTTTACCTGGTATTTTAGGGTGTGTTTAGAATTGTTTTCAAACTATAATTCTACCTATACACTCTAATACCATGTTTGGATAGGGTTTTTAAATTATATTTTCACAACTAACAGAAAACTCTGTGTCAAGCGGGATTTTCAATTTTTTTTTTTTTTTATGAAATTTGGCTTAATCGGTCTTCCGACCAGTTTTCCTGCCGGTCGTCCGGCTGGTCAACCGGAACATGACAATTTTTTTTTTATATGTTTAATAAAACAATATTTTTGGGTTTTTTTTTAAAAATTTTTTATGAGTTTTTAATAGATTTTTGAGTTGTGTGTTTGGTTATGAGTTGTAAGTTTTTGTATTAGATATCATATATCACATCAAAAATTCCTCACTCAATTTAAAACTCTTTTCAAAACTTATTCACCAAACAAATTTTTCACACTCAAATTATAATTCCAAAACTCATAAACTCAAAATACAACTCTATTCTCAAATTATATTTAGAAAACTCTACCGAACGCCATCGTAGTTTTTTATATTGGGGGGGTTTACTATTCTATTTTTTTTTTTTTGGAATTTTTCAAAAAAGTGTAATTTTTAGATGCATCTCAGCAAGACGGACTGGAAAAATGAAAGAATTGACATAATTTTTTTAAAAAATACTAAAAAGTCACACCATTTTGTTTATAAATTTTAATATATTTTTCATTTGTATAAGTAAGTGGGTTTGACTTTGTTTTAGACCTATTATTTTAAGAAAAAAAGTAGAAACTCCAAAAAATTTATTAAAATCTTTAAAAAATTTAATAAATCTTTTGAGGTCCATAATATTATTCTTATTTAAAGAGTAATGCTATACAAATAAAAAGCTCATACATAATTTTTATATACAATGATGTGGCTCACTGGGGATCTTTCATTTCCAAACAAAATATCATTAAAGATTAATTTATTTATAATAATGACATTACCATATTATTTTTATCAAGTTTTTTTTTTTGTATAAATTTTATGTATGTTTAAATTTTTTTTTTTATTTTGGAATATGTGGGCAGCTATGAGAATTGGGCTTGGTGCATAATTGGCTCGTTGCATATATTATGAATATTGGTTCCAAACTCAACCGATATTTTTTGGTTTGGTTCGGCTCATATGGGGTGATGGTTTGGGCTTGGTTGCATTTTTAAAAATTTATCTGGATTAATCTTAGATGATAAAAAACTTGAGAATGAGATTGTGATTTTTGTTTTTCATGATTCTAAAGTTTAAAACATAATTGAGTAAAATTGTTAAATAATGCCTCAGAATATTTATGTGGTGTTTTCTGTAAATGAAATTACAAAAACATGTCAAGTGAATGATCTCTATTGTTTCATGATTATTTTAGAGATGGGTCAATATTGCCCACTCATAAATTTTTTCATGAAGTTATTAGTTAAAAACTTTCTATAAAATAATGCCACAGGAGGCTATAAGATTATTAGGTAATTGCTGATAACATATTCAAGTGATTTCACATTTTTACCATTTTACTTCTAGCTATTTTTCAACTGCCAAACAAGTTGATGATTTGAAAAAAAAAAAATTACACCAATAGGCCCAAAAAGGTAACATTAACCTGTTTTCATAAAATTTATTGAAGACATATTATGAGATGTAATTTTAAAAATTACATGAGAGTTTGATTTTCGTAATTGTTAAAAATATCAAAGGAGAATCATACAATTTATCTAAAATTTTATAAGTTTTTATTTAGAACTTGAATGAACACTTAATTTTTATTTCTAGTAATATGATTTTTTTTTAGATCAAGAACAAAATATTCATTGTAAAATCGAACCAATCTCATACAACAATATTACAAGATCATCTCAAAAAAGAGATAAATAATTTCTATAGAAGGAAAGATAAAAGTTTCCATAGACGAACATAAAGAAGAGAAACAACCCTCCACACCAGAATAATTATTACATGATCAAACTAGAAGTTAAGAAAACTAAAAAAGAAAAAAAAAAAAAAACCAGATCCAACATGATTCTTGATAGTAAAAATTTAATTTACATTCCTTCCATTCAAACAATAAGAATACATATACATACCATTCAACTCTGGATTCATAGGATTTATTCAAACAATACATACCATTCGCTCAAACGATAAGACTAGAATTACATGCCATTCAACGCTGGATTCATATAATACACATACCATTTATATTACTCCACCGTATGATTTATTTTTCTCATTCTCCGTCCTTGTGATATAGAGGTCTAAGCAAGCTTAAGAACAACCTCGACGGCCAAACCCCAGCTTCCCACCTGCAACATCATAGACCACATCCAACGTCTTCTGCTGTGCATTTCCGAAAATAAGCAGATCGGAGGAGTTACTATTTCCGAGGAACGCCAAGCAGGCATTGGACGAATCTGCAAGGAGTATCCCCGAGTAGTCAATCGCAACCTCGATGTTGCCGCTGAACACAAAGCTTATACTCGGTATCTTCAGAGTCGTGTTCTTTTTCACACGGTAACATGTATCGAATCCCGACACGGGTTTACCCAACCGATATTGCGTCATGTGTTGCCGGAAAGCCGTTTTCAACGCATCGTACGCCGCCGGAGGAAGCCGAGTGATGGCGGTGCCGGAATCGATTATAGATCCGGGGGTCTTGAACACCGATTGAGAGATCGATAATGTCTTGCCACCGACTTTGATTCCGATTATATCGACGTAGTACGACGAAGGATCTTTCGATTTCGATAGCAATGGAGTGAATTGCAGAGATGATCCAGCGGAGCTTCTTCCTCCTTTTCCAAAAGTTAGGGATCCGGTGTAGCTGGGAGTTGATGGAAGACAGTACGAGAAGTAATTCCCATATTTGGAAGATATTTGTGAGACGAGAGACAATCGAGATCGGCCGAGTCCGATCAACCCGGCCTCGCCGTCGAATTTACCTTTGTTGTTCTCGCCGCAACCGAAGAGGAAATTGGGGAAAACATCGGAGGGTGTCAATGTGAGAGTTTCGGATGCGAAGAAACCAAAGGAGGTGGAGCCATCGCCGTACCCGATGCCGTAGACGCAGGTGTTGGTTGAGCAACTAGGGGTGGTGCTGGTGGAGGAGGAAAGCTGAGAGCATTGTCGGGAGGTACAGGTGATGTTTTTGTATGTTGCTGAGTGGGATGGGTCGAAGATTGGTTGTTTTTGTTTGTAGCAGAAGACGGTGCATGGTTTGCACTGAGTCCAGACGAAAGCGCTGCCTGTGTCGAAGACGAGGGATAGCTGTTTTTTGGGGGTTCCGAGTCCGACTGTGACGATGTAGTTGAAGCTGCCAATTGGGATGCCCGACTTCGCAGGGATGGTGGTTGTGGCCTTGGAGTTGGAGGAGGAGGAGTCCTTTTCTAGACTGTTTTGCCTGAGTCGAGACTGGATTGAGTTGACTCGGGACTGGTCACGAGTCAGAATTTCAGTCAGTGTTGGAGGAGCACTCGTTTTCTCTGGGCGTAGATGAGAGCATGGACCGTACTTGTGAACTACCTTCAATGACACTGTCCTCCCTTTCCTCTTATCTGATAAATAAATAAAAATAAAACAAAGTTATAAAATATATATATATATATATATATATTTTATCTAATATTTTTATTTTATTAATTATTTTAATTTATTTTATTTTTATTATTATTTTAGTCAAAAAAATCTCTAACCGATAGTATCATACTTTAACCAAATTATAAATAACATAACAATAAAAACCATAACTAAGTTCATTCTTATAATATTACTAATGATTGTATATATATATATATATATATAACAATTTTATCTCAAATTATGGGAAAAAGGATTATGAAAAACTGAATTATGGAATTTAAATTGACAATCTCTCACATTTCTCATATTGATGTATTCATAACCGATCTTTCAAAAAAAGAAAAAAAGAAAAAAAAGAAAAGAGAAATACATATTCATTTATAGTAGAAATAATGAGTAAAAATAAGAAAAAAATACCACATCAATGAGGTTCTGAAAAAGTAATTATAAATCAGTGAGAAATTTTATAAATATTAACAATAAAAATTGTAAATTTTTTCATGAATTTATATATATATATTTTTTCTACCCTCCACTGGGCTGTAAGAACCCTATAAAAACGCATTTAATCTATATTAATTTGTAGTTGTTTTATATTTTGAACTTGTTAATTTTTATTTAATATTGTATTAATTTGTTATTGGGTTTGGTAACTTTCTATTTTTAACCTATTGTTTAAAATTTAAGAAGTTTCATACTTATTAAATGAAATAAAATATTATTAATTATTTCTCAACAACCTAAGTTAAAAAGTGATTCTTTATTTTATTTGTATGATTAAATTTTCTAATATTAAATTATATGTATGATAAATTTATGAAACTTTATTAACTTAATGTAATTGATTAATTATAAATATAAATATTTAAATAAAAAAAATTATACAAAGATAATGGAATTGTTCCAGTTTGATTAGTAGGAAGGATTGTTTAGGAGAGATTTATGGACAAAATATTAAAAATAATTACGTAAAATTTTATAAAAATGCTTGAGACCTAAATTTATTACGTTGATAAATTTAAAAAATTTCTAATATCACCCTTTTTTAAACAAAAGAATTATTGCATTAACAACTTTTTTATACACGAAAGTATGTGAGAATGAATTATATATATTTTTAAGTAGATAGAGATCTAAGTCAATTGTGGTCTCATACTTAGGCGATCATGTGATGTTTCATTGCATATTCCATAAGCAAAGGAAAATTTATGACTTTTATTGATTAAAATAGTGAGACTTAATATTTTTAATTTAATTTTTTGGAGATAATATAACAACTGTTATACTCCATATTAAATTGTGCAAAGTATGACTGTAAGACCGTCAAACACCGTTCTAAAGACTTTCTCAACATTGAGGTGCGGCATAGCCACTCTCAAGCCCTTTCCTTCCACCTCAAAGGAGAGGGAATTTTTTTTTTTTTTTTTTTTAAGCACATTATTTTTAATATAACATGGTATGATATGATAATATATAGAGACAGAGTTAATGTAATTGACCTTTGATAGAAGGGCTGCAAACAGAAGCTGGTAAAAGAGAGTTGACTTGAAATGTATGAAAGTGGCTTTGCATAGCCTTTCTCTCTCCATCACCCAAAGCATCATTTTTTGAGGAACAGAGAAGAAGGAAAAGAGAAACACAGAAGAGGCAGCTAATGGTTATGGAGGAAGCTGTTGGAGTGGCCATCATTGACAAAAAGCGTCTCTCTCTCGATTATATTATTTTTCAAAGCACTTCTTGTGTTATGAGTGTTGTAAAAAACTACTAAATTTATAATGGATGCTCAACCTTCCACTTCCTAAGACAAAATTTTCGATGTTATTAAAATTTTGTCTGATATTGATTAATATAGTCAATTTTTTTGTGTTGGGATTTTTTTAACATGATTTTTTTTTTGCCTTATTTGGTTTGGATTTTTTTTATTGTTTTAATTTTTGTGAGAGAGAAAAGGTAATGATTATGGTTTGGATGTGATATTTTGTCTTATTAACTAATGTAGCCTATTTTGGACTTTTGTGCTTTTTTTAGCCACAAAATGAAAACCAAATGAGGGCTAAGCCGTCGTTTAAGAAGATTTAATTTGGCCTAACTTTTTGGCTAAATTAACCTAGTTAAATTAGCTCCTTTTTAAAAGAATTTTTGACTTTGAATGCGATGGTTGTGAGAGAAAAAGTAAAATGACTATGATTTAAATGTGACATTTTATCTTATTGACTAAATTAACTTATTTTGTTTTTTTATACTTATTTAGATATTTTATTTCTTCCCCAGCAAGCTCTAAATTTACATTTTCTCCGGTCGTCATTCACATTTCCTTCTCTTATTATTAATTTCATACAATTTCTAGTAATTTAACAATAAATTTTAACCAAAGTGAAAAAAAATATTTAAAAAATTGAAATCCTATTTAAGAAAAGAAAAATACTTAGAAAAATGTCAACAATTTGAATGTGTTGCAGAGATTTAAATTCTGTGTGACATGAGTCACACCTAGGATAATTTGATTAATATATTTTAAATTTATAACACTTTTTAGAATTTTTTTTTTCCTTCTAGATATCTAGTGTTGCTGAGAGAAAATAATTTCTAGAACTAGAAGTAAAAATGTATCCCATATTATTTCCTATTTTATTCTTTACCTCTATATTGTTCTCTTGTATGCAAATGGAGAAAAGTAGTTTTATATTTTCCTTTGCTTCCTCTCACAAAATTCATGAACAGAATGAAACCAATTATTTACCTATAGAAAGAAAATAAGAAGAGATAAAATTATGTTAATTACTTTAGATTGGTCACATTAGTCACTTAGAAAGGTCATCTAATTATTTTTTTTCCTCCCTAAATTCAAAATTTAAATACAACTGTAATATTTTTAGTCACATTAGCCTTGTTTGGTTTATGTTGTGAGATATTATTTTAAAACTAATTTTTTGGAAAGAGTTCGGAATTTTTTTTAAAAAAAAAATTTGGTTGTATATTTTAAAAATAATTTTGAAATTTGGAAGCTTGGCATGATTTGATATTTTTTTTGTAATTAAATAAATAGGTGTGAGAAAAAGTGACTGTGATTGAGAGATGAGAGAGAAAAAATGATTAATTATTATGTAATAAAAAGAAAAATGATTTAAATTTTTTTTTTTAAAAAAAATTCAACCAAACATGTTTTAAATCTCAACTGCTCCAATATGATCCCTTCGTCTGAGTGGTGACTTCGTATGTTTGGTATAATTTTTAAATTTTGATTTCATTCCTACATTCTAATGTTATATTTGGTTGAAATTTTCAAAAATTAATTCTAACGCCAAAATGATAAATTATTTTTTTTAATTGAATTTTAAAAAAAGAGTTTGGTTATGAATTTTGAATACAATTTTCAATAGAGTTTTGAGTTATGTATTTGGTTACGAGTTATAAGCTTTTTAATTAAGTTTTAAAAACTCTTTTCAAAATTTATAATCAAACAACTTTTCTCATTTCATATATCACATTAAAAATTCAAAACTTTTTTCAAAACTCATAACTAAATAATTTTTTTTAAATCATAATTTCATAACTCACAAATTTAAAATATTTTAAATCATAATTTTAAAATTCTATCAAACGCACATTATTATTTTCTTATCGGTAATCAAGTGACACCATTAATGACACTCTCGTGTGGTTGCTTTAGGATGATCACAAGAAAATAAAAAAAGATAAGGTCTACTCCTACATCGATGTTGGGAGAAAAAGTTAGAGAAACCACACAAAAAAGAAAAAAGAAAAAAAAACAAAAGGTCTATTCATCGATGTTGGGAGAAAAAGTGAGAGAAACCCAAAAAAAACAGAAAAAGAAAAAGAAAAAAGAAAAAGAAGAAAAGGTCTACTCCTACATCAATGTTGGGAGAAAAAAGGGGAGTGCAAAATCAATAATTGATATGTAATAAAAAGAAAAATGATTAAAATATTTTTTAAAAAAAATTTCAACTAAGCCTTCGTTTGGGAAGTGGGTTGGCTTTTTGACTTTTTGGCTTTTTTGGCTATTTTAGCCTGGGCTTAAAAGCTTGGTTTGGGAAGGGCTTTTTGGCTTTTTGGCTTTTTTGAGTTTTTTTGTGAGAGAAGAATGTAATGATTATGGGTTGGATGTGATGTTTTGTTTGTTATGGCTAAAATAGCCTATTTTGTTTTTTGTGACTAAAAATAGCCAAAAAAGCCCAAGAATCAACTTGCCAAACAAGAGGCTAAACATGTTTTAAATCTCAATTACTCCAATAAGGTCCCTTAGTATGAGTGGTGACTTCTACATGGGAAATATTATTTTCTTACTAGTAATCAATGACACCATAAGTTGTATTTTATTAGAAGATTTAGAAAGAGATTAAAAAAAAAAAAAAAATGAAGAAAAGATGTAAATAAAATATACTTATATTTTATCTAATTTTATACACTTTTTCTCTTTCTTTTTCTAAATTCATTCTCAAATCTCTCAATCAAATACAACATTAATAACACTTGGGTGATTGTTTTAGGATGAGCGGAAAAAAATGCCATGTTGGTGTCATACATATTGCTTCTGTGTCAGTGGATTGTCAATTTCATTAAAAATAAAAAAATAAAAATGTCTACTTAGCAAAATATTAAACAAGCAAGGCAAAAGACTTTATTTAAAAAATTCACACAATATAAAATTTTGAAGCAAAAATAAATCTCAAATGGGCAAATTAATAATTTTACCAAGGCAATTGCCCTTACTTAAGTCTCGTTTAGCAACCTTCATTAAAAACCTAAAAAGTTATTATAAGTTGTTACATCATTTTTTCTATTTGTTTTGCACATTTTTTTGTAAAAAATCAAAAAATTACTAAAATAATCTATTCTTAAATGAGGTCTTAGCCTATCCATGCATAAATTTTATTTTTACTTTTAATATTGAATTTCTCTCTTCTTAAAATGCACTTTCAATCTATGATTATGCCTTGAAAGTCTCTTGTTTTAAAATTCTCTCTAGATTGTGTGGTTAACAATGCATTAAAAATAAAAGAAGAAGGAAATCCTTAGCCTTCATACACACATATTATATGTATAATTTGTCTATTTGTAATATATATATATATATATGTATGTGTGTGTGTGTGGAGAGAGAGAGAGAGAGAGATATGAAGGTATATGTATTAACCATTGGTTGATGAGTTGCAAACGATACTGGTAGAAGAGAGTTAACTTGAAGGGTATGATGGTGGCTTTGTAGAGTATTTTCATCATGCAAAGCATAGCCCTTCTCTAAGAAGTGAAGAAATAGGGAAACAAGACAAGCAAAGAAGACAGAACTAATGGAGATGGAGGAAATTGAAGTGGCCATCAACCAACCTTTCTCTTTCAACTTCTCTCAATGATGTTTCTACAAGCATTTGTGCTATAGTTTAGCTTTATAAGCAATTACATTTGTAATGGACTTTCAAATTTCCACAAGTATATCATCCACTATGACAAAGTTAATAATACAATCATATATCATTTGACAAAGAGTTATGTGAGTCAAAATTATTCTATTTTTAAAAATTTACACTAAGTTATTAATTATGAATACCAATATATATATATATATATATAATATTATGAGATTATTAAGGCCTCATTTGAAAACATGTTATTTTAATAATTTTTTTGACTTTTTAGCTAAAATATGAGATAAAAAAACTAGTATGTTTGAAGTGACTTTTTTAATTTTTTACGAAAAAATGTGTAAAAAGTAAAGAGTAAAAGAAATCTTTGAATTTTTAGTATAGATTATAGGTTTTGTGGTTTTTTTAGTAACTTTTTACTTTTAAGTTAAAAGTGTTGCATGCCAAAATGCCAAAACGAGGCCTGAATAATGCTTCTCAAGGTTGGATTAGTGGACACAACTTGGGGTAAGGGGGTGTATTTTTTTTTTAGGTCTCAGGTTCAATATTCACTAATTCTAATAAGTTTCTCAAAACTAATCCATACAGTGCGTTTGCTCTGACTTTAAATCAGCCCCCGCAAGTGAGCGTAAATTGTGCCTCTGTAAGTGTGTAGTGAGATTAGTTTTTTGGAATTAGTCGAGATGTGCGTAAATTAGTCCGGACATACGATTATTAAAAAAAGCAAAAAAGAAAAATTCAAATGGAAAAAGTGAAATGATTATGGTTTGGACGTAACAATTTATCTTATTGATAACATTTTCTCTGGTCATCCTTCACATTTCCTTCTCTTATTATTAATTTCTTATAATTTCTAGTAATTTAACATATAATTTTAACCAAAGAGAAAATAAAAAAAAATAAAAAAATTGAAATTCTATTTACCCGTAAGAAAAAAAAAATACTTAGAAAAATGTCAATAATGAATGTGTTGCGGAGATTTAAATTCAGTGTGGCATGTGTCACACTCAGGATAATTTGATCAATATATTTTAAATTTATAACACTTTTAGAATTTTTTTTTTTTTTTTCTAGATATCTAGTATTGCTGAGAGAAAAATAATTTCTAGAACTAGAAGTAAAATTCTTTACCTCTATGTTTTTCTGTTGGAAGCAAATAGAGAAAAACAGTTTTATATTTTCCTTTGCTTCCTCTCACAAAATTCATGAACAAAATGAAACCAATTATTTACCTATAGAAAGAAAATAAGAAGAGATAAAATTATTTTAATTACTTTAGATTGGTCATATTAGCCACTTAAAAAGGTCATCAAATTATTTTTTTTCCTCCCTAAATTCAAAATTTAAATACAACCATAATATTTTTAGTCACATTGTGTCACAACCCAAACCCGGTATCCAAAGGCTCGGTGTCGTAACAAGATAAAAACAAAATAATTCGAATAATTCTGTAGTCGCAACGCAAGCGGATAAATTAAATAAAATAATTGGATACC